CCCTTCCCTGTCAGCCTATGACCAAAGTTCCCACCGGGGTTGGTTACCCGATCTTCCCTAAGGTTGCTCACAGTTCCCGACCGGTACCACGGGGAGGTAGGGATAGGAGTTGCTGGGAAGAGGCTAGTGATCTCAATGGGATCTGTATTGCGCATTACCCAGCATTAACCGACCTGAAATGATCTTTATTTCTTGTATTTGTTTGGTTAACATCAACTTTAGTTCTTTCGAAATTTCAATTATTATTAATTACAGTTCCTAGTCCTATCAGGCCTGTTTTAAGAATGACCACCTTGGTGGCATTGATTTGTTATAAATTTGAAAAAGAAGGCAACTTAAAACTACTATTTTGAACTACAACTAACCTACAACTGCTATATGCCCCTAATCTACTATTTACAAATTGCTTATCAAAGCATGTTCTGATAAATTACATTTTTGTGCAAACTTAGTCTTAATTTAGTTAATTCTTGAATCTATTTTGGCAATGCCTGCCTCTTCGTGTAAATTTGTTATTCTAGTGTCGAAGGGACGATCAAGTACCATCCTCAGCACTCTATTCTGAGCGACATTTCAGAGTGAGTCCATTCTGGAAGCAATCTGCCTGTTCACGTTTTTTGCCCAGGTCTCCAGTCCTCTGAAACTGGCGTCTACGCACATTTCTCAATCGAATCAATAATTGGGTGTGGGAATCAATAGCAACAAACTTACCCCTCACAGGAACTCGTCGAACGCATGTCTCGTCAGCCTCGGATATGGCCTGTTGGAGTCCTTCCAACGCCCGGTCGATGTCATCTACGGTGTCGAGCAGTGGATTTTCATCGATGTTACTGTCCACCATTCGACCGTACTGCACCCAGTTGACATGGTGGTAGTCTTTACGCAGGCAGCTTCTAGCAGGAACCACGTTGACACCGACTTCAGTCACCACCGGTTGGTGGTCGGAGCTGAGATCGTTGTGTGCCTCCGGCTTGGATAGTCCGATGTTCGATAGGAAGAAGTCCAGCGTGGAGGGATTTCCTGTCGGAGAGATGAAAGTTGGTTCGTCCGGAAATTGCACAGTGTACAGTCCATGTTGTGCGTGGTCGAACAATAGACATCCGTTCCGGTTCCGCTGGTAGTTCCGCCAAGCTTCATGGCGGGCGTTCAGGTCGCCCCCAACGATGAATCGGGAGCTAGTACGAGTGATGGCGGTCAGGTCGTTCTTGAATTGGATGTCCAGGCCGTTGCTTGTGGTACACTGACGTGGGCAGTAAACTGCTATAAACCGGACGTTTCCAGTTGGTGTTTCCACCTCCACACTAATGGCTTCGATGATAGAAGTGCGGATGTGGGGCAGAGTGCAAAACTTGATTCCCTTTCTGACGATGACCCCCCCTGGAGCTGGTGCGATCAAGCCGGATAATGTTGTGGTCAGGCAACCAGAAGCTGTCACCGGACTTTAGGTGGGTTTCCGTTAGAAGACCCACGTCGATGCTATGCTTGCGGAGGAAGTCGGCAAGCTCAATCTGTTTAGCTCTTATAGAGCAAGCGTTCCAGGTAGCGATGGTTAGCGGTTTAGACACCATATTGGATGATGAACTTACCGAGCACTTGGATCTGTTCGGGCTTATTGCGGCACTTACGTAGAGCACCGGTCATGTTGATATAAATCTCCATAAGTTCATCTGCTGAGAACAGATCGGGATTATTTTTTTGAGCTGTTGGTTGCCTCCAGAATCCAGGGGGGAATGGAGAGCTTTGTCCAGCAGAAGATCCAGACGTTTCTTGAGGGGGCGCGGATCGCACCCTGGGATTCGCTTGTCCATGAAGAGGCGGAAAGTCCTCCGTCCTGAAAGCCGGGGCCTTATCCTTCCTTCGTGCTGGTTGATTGTTGATGGACGCTTGATTTCGGATGCGCTTGAAATCCTCGCGTTTAGGGCACTGCTTGTTGGATCCTTGGTGAGCACCACCACAGTTGGCGCATTTGGACGCCACAGCTTCATCCGCAGCACATTCGGAGGTGGCATGGTCTTGAGCGCAATTTCCGCAGCGTGGCTTAATGTTGCAGTTGCGGGTACCGTGTCCGAAGTTCAGACACCGCTGGCACTGAGTCACATCGCGATGGCCGCCACGGTATGGCTCCCAGCGAACGATGATGGAATTGATGGACCGGATGGCTTTCAGTGCATTGAGCGTCACCGTTCCCTTCTGGAAGTGTACCAGGAAAAGGCTATCCGGGTACGCCTTCACATTTTCGTCTCTTCTTGTCATTCGGTACATGGCACTTGAGGCCAGCTTGTACCTTTTCCTGATTTCATGTTCGATAAACTTCGGGTCGAAATTTGGTAGGCCCCTGATGACGACCTTGAACGGTTTTTCACCGGGGATGTCGTGGGTGAAGAATTCCACCTTGGAAGTCCTCAGGTGGGCGATGACCAAGTCATACTCCGCTTTGGTACGGAGCACCACCTTGGTGCCGACTCTGCCCAATTTGAATTCGGCTTTGACGCCCAGCGACGCCAGATCCGCGATGAGCTCGTTGAGATGGGCATTTTTCACCACCAGCGGAGGTAGCTTCACTCTTGCCGCGCTCATGTCAGCAGCATTTTCTTTATCGGCAGCGTCACCGAAATCTCCGTTCGTCGCAGAAGCATCGTCTCGACCAATCGTACCATCAGACTGGCCTCGGTTCTTCTTCCTTTTCTTGCTGCGTTTTTCCAACACAGTCGGCTGGATATTCCCATCCATGGGGAGAACAGCAAACCTGTTCGAGGTAGGCACACCGGAGCTTCCTTCACCGGAGTTCTGGACCTTCGCCAGGCTTCGCGACCGATGCTTTCCCATTACGGGGCACACACACACACGCACGACAAACCGCGAAAGAGAGAGCGCGAACAATATCGCCACGAACTTTTCAAACAACTCGAGAGAGCGAGCTAACACCGAACTGAACTGCTTGACGATCAAGCAGAGAATCGATGAGTTGAGGCACATTTGCAGCGCTGTTTTATAACTTTTCAGATTCAAGCAGCGCGATGTGCAACCAAATGGTACTCGATTATCACGACTGGGTTTGGGGAGAACGTTTATTTCATCAAAACAGTGATAAATTATCACTTCTTTTTTGTACATTTTTCAAACAGTTTTTATGAAAAAAATATAAAAAATAATGAAAAAGCGTTTATTGTAACAGCTTACGAGCGTTATTTCCTATAGATTGGTGTATTTGGATTTTAATTTCATTTATAAATGACAAAGTTATAAGCGTTCAAAACCTTACACCTTTTCGTGACGGTCGCAATTTTAGATTTTCGATTTACCCCCAGTACCTTCCCGTAAGACGTAGTCTTCGTCGAAAATGTGGCAACACTGCCAGCAACTGATGCAATTCGTGGTCGTTGTACAGCACTTAAATCCGTTTTACGAATGCAACTTTTGATTCGGTTTATTAGCTGATTACATTGGATGGCCCTCCAAAAGTTTTTTGTAGACCAAAAAAAAATTCAATTTGGTGACACAGAGGCAAGTTTATTGGATTGTGGTTTTTTAGTATATACGGGTTATTTTGATTTCCAAGAATGTTAGTGTTTTCTTAGCATAATGCGATGATGCTTTATTCGGTCAAAACACGTAGTTTCCGTCTGAGTGATATTTTTGAAGAAATTGAATCAATATTTTCTTCAAACATTGATTTTGGTACACTTCTTGTCTGATAGCCAAAACGCTAGGTTTGAACTATGTATGACTTAGAAATTCCTCTCTCCGATATGGCGATATACAGCATCACTTTCTGTTCAAACTTGTGTTTGAACTTGAATCTTACATTTGGAGATGTTGTACAACTATTATCTGAATAATATAGATAAATGTAAGATTTTGACAGGGGAAAGTAACTTTCATCATCCAAAACGAGACATTTTCCTGTGTAATTTCTTGGGTTTTCACGTTCGAAATTTATTCATTTGTGTATTCTGGAGCTCTTGATTTCTGGCGACAAACTATTCCTATCCTATCCTAGTCCGGTGAATTGAGAACGAGAAAAAAACAGTTTTAAAACGCAATAGAATTCGATCGAGATGTGCAATATTTGAGCCTTCCGAAGGACAATACGTTGTAGCAGTTAGTCTTAGCTTTGCTAAATCTGTGAGAGAATCTTACATTTTCCGGTTCGGTGTATGTAATGACCCATTCCATGAAATTCTTCTCCGCCATTTTTCAGCCAGATTACTTTAAATTGAGGGGGTTAGAAGGAATGGGGTGTAAGTGAGTTTTATCGATTCTCCTAATCGACTTTCTCTTTTGTTAATAATTCAGCTGCAAACACATTCCTTGATTCGTGTGCCATTCTGGATGCTAGATAAGAATCAAGCTATGTGGCAGAAATAGCGGAAAATCTATTTATAAAGCTGTGGCTATCAAAAAAGAAAGTCGATGAAGAGAAACGATCAAAGTCACTTACACCCCTTTCCTTCGAACCCCCTCAATTAATGTTTACCTTAGACAAAGCTTGAGAAACATTTTTGAAAAATTTCTAAAGTCGATGAAATGCTTTTTACTATATAGCTCGCGTTGTCACTTGAAGTCGTGTTTTACACTTAGTAGCATTTATTAGTAACTATATTCATTTGTATTGATTGCAGTGTTTTAGTAAATAATTTCTACTTTCTATGCCTACACAAAAAAACACAAGCTCCTGCTGCAGTTAACGAATAAAATTATTATTATATAAGACATTGCGTACAACCCCATAGGGCTGTCCCTTGTAGTATTTGAATAATTTAAAAAATGCACTTGTAACCGATCAAGAAGTGTTCACTCCGCTTAAACTGCATTGCCAATCTGCGGCCCTCTGGTTCAACCCACGAGAGTCGAAAACGAGAGTTTATCAACTTCGGTGGTCAACTTGCCAGTCCTGCCAGACATTTTAAAGCTTCCTAATCTTTTTAATCCCCAAAATTTCGAATTTTTCAACTTTTCCTTTATTTACCTCCATCTTTCTCTCTCTTCCGCACTTCCAGGTTCCTCGCTCGAGTCCCAGTACACGGTGTCCCAGTCTCAAACCATCAACTTTACCCAACAAGCCATGCGCCAGCGACAGCAACAGCAGCAACAGCAAGGCAACGGTCCCGGGCCCGGTCCAAATCAGGTTCCTCAGCAGCAGCCCGGTGGCCCCGGGCAGCAGCAGGGCCCCAATGGGCCAGGAGTTCCGAACCCCCAGGCTCAACAGCAGCAACAACAACAACCGGGCGGTCCCAATTCGGGAATCTCCACCGGTGGAATGCCCCACGGAGGTCCCATGGGAGCCGGCGGTCCGATGGGACAAAATCCGAATACCCCCCTCGGAATGGGTGGCATGGGCATGGGCCCGAACGGTGGTCTGAGCGGACTCAGTTCGATGGTCTCGAATACCATGGGCGGTCCGGGAGGACAGATGATGCACAACAGTATGGGCCCGGGAGTTCCAGGCGGACCGGCTGGACCAATGGGAATGCGGTACATGCAACAGCAGCAGATGATCCGAGCACAGGCGATGCAGCAACAGATGGCCGTGGGTGGACGACCTCCGCCACCGGAGTACAAAGCGACCCAGCAGGGTGGCAATCCAAGTGCGGCAATGTTGGCCGCTCAGCAGCAACAGATGCTGCATGCTTCCGGCGGACGGTTTCCAGCTGCGATGCGGAGGATAACGCAGCAACCGATTCCACCCTCGGGACCGATGATGAGGGCGCAACATGCGGCCTACATGCAGCAGCACGGCCATGGTGGCCCACGAGGGCTGGGTGGCTTTGGACCTGGAGCGGGTGGCCCGGCGACGATGGGAGGCGGTCCAGTGCAGAGGCCTCCCAACGTGCAGGTCGGACCGGAGGGAATGCCAATGGGATCGCAGCAACAGGCCGAATGGCGGCATATGATGATGTCCCAGCAGCAGAGCATGAGCTTTGCCAGCAGTGGTGGCAATATGCGAGCGGCCGGATTCGGTGCGGGTGAGTTCCATGGGAACTTATGGTGGTAGTAGGGTCGTTTGAATCTAAATTCTTGATTCAATTCCAGGTCCAGGAGCAGCGGGTAATGCCATGGGAATGCCAAACGGTGGTCCCGTAGGTCGGATGGATGGCGGTGGTGGACCCGGCGCTGGTCCAGGAGGCATGACCCAGCTTCAGATGCAGCAGCAAGCGATGATTCGGCAACAGCAGCAGCAGCAACAGCAGAGCATGGGAATGTACCAGGGTCAGATGGGAGGAGGCGGTGGGGCAGGAGGAATGGGCCAGATGCAGCAGCAGATGACCATGATGCAACAGCAACAGGCCATGATGGGTCAAATGCAGATGAACCAGTTGCACATGAGCCAATCGCAAACGATGACCATTCAGCAGCAGCAGCAGCAGCAAGCAAATCAACAATCTGTGATGAATTCGTTCAACAATCCGGGTATTGGTCCCGGTCCGGGTCCGGGCGGTGGTGGACCAGGTCCCGGCGGCGGAAACAACCCTAATAGTAGTAACAATAGTAACAACAACAACGGTAATAGCAGCGCGAACAATAGCAGTAGTGGCGTCAGCGGCGGAGGCGTTGGTCCCCACGGCCCCAACAACAATTCCTCCGTCATTCCGAATGCGGACTTTAGTTTGGAGTTCCTGGAAAATCTCCCGGTGGGCGACCCGAGCCAGTTCAATGCGCAGGATCTGCTCAGTTCGCTGGACAATGAAAACTTCAACATCCAGGACATTCTGTAAGTGGTTTCTCCCAAAACTTGTAAGTAGAATATTATTTTAGTGCCCAGTGAGCCAAAGGCTCGTTTCCAATGCAACAGACTTGCATGCAAGCGGGCAAGCACGAAATTGCATGCGGAGGGGAAGCTTTCCGTTGTAAAAGTTAAGCGTATAGGAAAAATAGGGGAGAGGTGGTTAATTTATTAAATCAAAATGAGAAGACGAACGATAGCGGAAAAGAAGACGAATCAAAACTATAAAAGAACCATTGGTAAAATAGGGAAACGGATCCTGTACATAGACAAACGTAGTGTATTTGACTTACTCGTTACAAATGCTTAGATGGGATAGATCCGCGTAGGAGCCAGCAGCAACATTTTTTTCGTTGTACATTTTAAACTTTACATAATTTATTTTTTTTACCGAGAACAGCGTATCGTCGAACAAGCAAACTCTCTATCGTGTTTACTAAAAGCTTATTTAAGTTTAGTTTTAAATCCATCTGCAAAATGGTGTTTAGACTATATGTAGTAGCGGGAAACATTCCTTACCTAGGATATTTTATTTGTGTGGCCTCAAGTTGGGAGTGCCGTTTGTTCAAAGCCATTCTGCCATTTGATAGTTTCTGCTTTTCGAACAAGGAAGACCATCATCTTAATCCCCTTCCATTTGTGACCCTTACAATGAACATGAACTTGTGCGATAGAGGAGAAGGCGGTAATTGAACAAAATATTCTAAACAGAACGTGGAGGTGTAACGACGTTTTTGGAGGGACACTAGGTAATTTGTATAGCAGCGCAAACAGAACACCTAAATGTTACGAATGATAGATTCCAGTGGGAGGAGGGGAGGAGAGCAAAACGCGAAACGAGAGAGGGAGTAACTGTGTATACAAAACAAAAGAAAAACTTTAACTAGCTATGTAAGTAAGACAAAACAAACTAAAACCGAGAATCAACTAAACTCTGACGAAAGGAAAATCTATTTAAGGATTAATTATTGAAAAGTAGCGAAAATTTTTGAATGACAAAACGGTAATCAAAGCAGTAAATGAAACAATTTATAATGGAAAAAAAAGGAAAATGACACTTGAATCAAACATTGAGCTCGGCAAACCGAATCTGTGTTACAGGTAATAGTCAAATTTTGTTTTTCAATAGTCGATGTTGGTGCGTTTTGAGTGGTAGCTGAAGGTTGGAGTGAGCCACCGGTTTCTGGGGAGAGTTTTAAGAAATTTACTCGTTTAGGCTCGCGTTTATTCTCTTAGCTCACTGTCAGCTTGTTCTTGGCTGTCTTAAGTCTGTTCCAAGCAAAAGTATGTTCCCGTGCTTTCTGCAGCATATTATTTTCGTACAGCAACTTGCACAATGCTGCAGTTACTTATAGTATAGTTATAAGCAAAAAGCAAGTTCGTAAACAGATGTAAATGTGAGCTCTATCCAGGGATGCCAAATTTGAAGATACGTCATCATATAACACCTAAGAAATTTATTCTTGAAAAAGAACCCTCGTCCTCGTCCTCTTCTTGAAAAAGAACCCTCGTCCTCTTCGCCCTCTATTTCTAAACGTGTGGGGAGTTCCCTGATGTTTAATGAAGCTCAAAAAAAAAATTCCAGGAAGTTCATTTAGCTTTTTTGTCGTAAAGAACCCCTGAAGATATAACACCGACAAACCGACATGAAACTCAAACTAAACTCTTGATCGAGAATCCATAACGGTCGATTCAAATAAGCAGCGATCGCATCGGTCAAAACCATAGAATGTTTTATCTAGATAAAAATAATTTGTCCGAAATAGATTAGACACGAACCAACTCATAAATTTTTCGTGGCTAGGATAAATATTTTCCGCGAACACGGCGGCAGATGTCAGTTTTGTGTTTTGATCAAAAATTCCTTTGTAATTTGAATGATCATTCATGTCGGTTTGTAGGTGGTTAGAAGCTTTCTGAACTTTTGCTATTTTTTGTACTCTTCTACGAAATTCCCTGCACTTCTATGTAGTTTTACGCAGTTCATACAAATTCGCTCCAATTGATACGAAATCCGCTAAACTCCTGCAAAGTTTTCTGCACTTCTACGTTTCTCGTTGTTGATTACCTTCGAAGTTTTCTCCAAAAATAATGGAAAAAAGTCATCGAGCAGACAACCTGTCAAATGGATGAGATGTCGCCTCTTTACCCACTGTACTTTGTGAAAGATTCCTGCCAATGAGCTGAATTACCGAGGTGAAGCAGTCGGTTAAATTGTGTGAGTAAAACCCCTGTACGATATTTCACGATCTGGTTAACCTCTCTCTGTACCTCATTGGATTCCTGCATCATAATATCTGTTTTCTCTAACATGCACGGCTATTGAGACGAACTCAACTTTGAGCGGGATTTCATCCAAAAACGTTGAAAATTGAGCTCCTCAAAGCTGAGTAAAATCGAAGACTACAAATCAAGAAGACTGGCAAACGTCACTGATAACAGCGGCTCTGTCAATCGAAGGTGGAACTTTGAAGCACAAGTGTTAGTGAGACTGCTCATAAACAGTGACTGTGTGTGTGACCTAATGTCACCGAAACGAATAATCATAACACCACAGACAAACAGACGTAACTCTTTGAAAAAGTTTTTCTTGAAAACATAGTATCTCAAAATATAGGACCTCAGTAACGACATCTCTCGGGTTTCTCGCGGAAAAGAAGCTTGCTCGCTAAATCGCAAACAATATTGCATAAAAGTTCTATAGAATGTATAGAAACGTCAAAGTGATCCGATGCCAGCGCTGCGGCGAGTAGTTCGCGGAACTGATAATATTCAAATCAACCGTTAAATACGTGAACGAAGATACACAATGAAGAGTTACGTCTGTTTGTCTGTGATAACACGGTACTCGTCGTTGTTTTTGTTTTGCTCTACAAAATTTCACGGCAATTTGTATCCTAATCCCAGCAAGCCGATGGTTTTCCAACTGCAAACCGAAAAAACTTATCATGGTGGATCAAGTAGAGGATTGAAACTCAGATCGATACCTAGTGAAAGTAAATTTTGCTTGTGAACGAGGAACCGAAATATTGTTTATTTTGCCTGTTGGAAGCAGCTTTCACCACCATTGAGTGAACTACCGTCATTCGAAAGCTGCTGAAAATTCAAGGATTCAAAAAGTACCTACGTCACGATCCAACGGAAGGCGTAGCAGGATCTAATGTTGGAGGAAATGAAAATGAAAGGTTGAAGGACTACAATCCCAAACAGTACGTATTGAGCATAAGTATGATTGACCGCCACCGGTTGCTACCCTGTTATTGCCAGATCAGCTGTACTTACACAGAGAACCAATAGACGATGCTCGGGACTAGCAATCATCCTCAATGTGTAAAAATTGGTGATCTCAAACTAGACAATACCAGCGCGGGCCGCACCCGAACGAAGCTCAAAAAAGGAATGGGTAGGAATGTGTTTACGTGACACTCGCTTTGATGAAAGCCGAGAAATCCTCTGCACTTCCACGAGGAATCACTGGGATGTTGGATAAGAGGGTAGGGTTTGCAGCATGGTTCGTTTTGGTAAACAATAAGCTGAATCGACGTCCTAACGATAGGGAGGGGTTACTGTATAAATAAATAAAAATGAATGATCTCACTCAAATGACCAAGTGGAGCTGCGCCAACAGCAACTGGCCTGTTCGTAGACAAACAGTACGTATTGATAACAAAATATATTTCCATTTTAGATGTTGTCAGAACATGATACCACGGTATAGTGATCCTCTGTATGCTTTAACAATGCTTGGATCCGACCGACACCTTCCAGAGAATGATAACAACAGTGTTGGATTGGCCAGTGGCATTCAAATGGTCAACGAGTCACAACTTAACTCCCTCCAGAAATCTTCAAGGTGGCTCTGTGGAACTTCAAATTCCAGGTGAAATCTGAGGAGAATTCCAGGGCAACTCTGACTATAATTTCAAGGAATTTTGAAGAGACTTCATACAATACTTCAACGATAATTCGGAGCATAATTGAAACAAATATTCTGGGAGCATATAGAGGGAATTCGAAGCATAATTCCAAAGGAAAGTTTCTGAGAATACTTAGTAGGGTGGGACAAGATCTGCCCAAAATTCCAGATCCACTCGAGGGACCGAAACGGAACTACTTAGACGATATCAATATCGAATGAAGCAAAAGGTGGCCCATCCACCTCGTACGACTGAGGCTACCTGCCGGACTTGTGACCGGAAAATGAACACTACTGGAGGCCACTGAGTAACCTTTCGGATTATCCGGATGAAGTAGCCAATTATGCGGATAGACCAATCCAGTGGATAGAAATTAACGGAGTCTTGGATCCCCAAATGGCGTAAATGATCGATTTCCTCTAAACGTCGTCCCCGTTCGTGAAATGCCCATATTGTGGAGTATTTGACCCTTTTTTATCTTGGATTCCAAAATGGCGTCGATCATCGATTTCCGACCTCTAGACATCGTCCTCGTACATATTTAACGCTTTTTCACAAACCGGAGGTCGCCATCTTTGACTCTAAGATGGCGTCAATAATCGATTTCTAGCCTCTACAGGACCTCCCCGTTCCGGAAGTACCCATAGTATTTCAGGAGTATTTTACACTTTACCGGAAGTTGCCATCTCCCGAAAGTTTACCCCATGATCACTAGGGTCTTTTTTCTGGTCACAAGTCCGAATTATTTGTATTGAGTCCTTTAAATGTGTTTTCTAAAAAAAAAACGCTGGGTTCTTTTATGTACTGACCACTCTTGGACCTTTCGAAAAGTTATCCCGTGCACACTTAAATTTTTTCGCCGAGATTCCAACAGCCGAGTAGTTCTGCAATTTAGTTTTGCTGAGATTCAGTAAAATAATTGCCGAGACTCAGCTAACAAATAGATATTTTACAGATATATCAGCAAAAGTAAATGCCGAGGTAAGCGGCTGTTGGAGATTTTACCGAGCTAGATTAACTGTGTGGCCCTCAGGGTCCATTTTCCAGAAGCAAGTTCAAATTTATTCTAATGAGTCTTGTAGGAGTTCTTTCGCAAAAAACCGCAGATATCCAGGACCAATTTTATGAAAACAACACTCCAGTGGCCTCCAGTGTTCACCTTCTAGTCACAAGTCTGAATTCATTATAATTAGTCTTCTAGAAGTGCTTTCGAAAAAAAAACACAGAGCTCTTGGTCCAGTTTCATTAATTGACCATTTCGCTGTTGTTAAGGACCTTCCGAAAGCTCACCCAGTAGATTCCAGTGACCGTTTTCTGATCACCAGTCCGAATTCGTTCAAATGAGTCTTCTGATCTTCCAGAAGGTCATCCCGTAGCCCCCGGGGGCCATTTTTCGATCACAAGTCCAAACTCATTCTAATGAGTCGTTCTATAAGTGCTTTCAAAATAAAAAAAACTGCAGAACTCTAAGACCAGTTTCATAAATTGACTGAAATTTTATCTAACCACAGAACAACCTAGATATTTTCAGTTCATTTACTGTTCGTCAAACGAAATGAGCACTGTTCTCTGATCATATCTTTTTCGGAAAGCCTAATGTTCAGTCTACATTTTTTTCCTAGACGGTTTTGCTCTACACTCGAAGTTTTTTCCAAGTAGGATTGTTTGAATAAATTGTGTGCCAAAACAAATACGCCCTTGTGAAAAGCTTCGCTTGTTTCCAAATAATCCTGTGCAAAGTTTCATCCAAATCGAAGACTCTGCGCATGATATCGGCTTTCCGCCATGCTGAGTGAACCCCCACACAACGTGACTGTCTCGCGCAGACAGCAGCTGGCAGTGCTGCTAGAAACGAAGAGGTTTGGGGGTTATGTGGCTGGCAGCAAGGCGAGTGAAAGTTTAATGAAAATCAACTCTTAAACAACACTAATTTATGGTGGTCCTGAAAAGAACCGTTTTGTCGTAATAGTTGAGTAATGCTGAGCTATAAAGGTGTTCAACACAGATGAGGCTGGCAAGCTGTATGTTGTTTGGAACAAGGATGACGCGCTTGGCATAGATGGCCCACAGCGATTCACGAAGAGCTACTGAATCCCAGTAGCGGTGCGGCTTCTTTCTTTTTCTTTGGTGAATAGATGTTCATGTGAGCTGCAGCTCGCTGCTTGCGAGCAGCCTTTATTTGTATACTGTAGAACAATGTTTAACGCCACGCGTCGAAAGAACTGCTGGATGGACCAAATTGAATTCAATTTTGAAATCTGTGTTAGGGAAAGTGCTTTTTTTCAGGCAATCGGTGTTAATTTTAATCACCATTGCAACTATTACACATTTGTGTAATTTTCAATAGTGACCGATTGAAAATAGATAAAGTGTTCATTTCAGCAGATTCGTAGAAAAATTTTCAATCGATTGGTTTGTTTAGAATTAAAATCCATCCGTTGTTGACAGAGTAATAAGTGGTCAAAACCTGACCACTTTTCGTAACGCGGTTGATATTTTAATTTTTTGGAATTGCTCCCCCAATATGTTACCGAAAGACGTAATCCTACGTCAAAAAAGAATAAAGAGCAGTTCGTTTGGCTAGCAATCAGTAATGGCAAAATAACTTTTTCCACAAGCATCGGATCGTTTTGCGGTCCTGGAAGAAAAGTTTCCTTGTAAAATTTCCTAGCGAGTAATTGGATTGATTTACTTACTACTAGAGGACAATGGGTGACCTCGACAGACTTTTATTTGAAAAAGTAAGTTTTCCCAAATTTATTTTGAGCTTAATTATTATTTTGGATATTGTCGACCACTGAGCCTTAAACCTCGATATTAGCATCAATTCAGCATGAGGCAATAATTTGCCATCGATTGTGTAAAAACCAACACGACACGTTCTTCAGCGCTATATTTGTATAACATGAAAATAATCATTTTGCCTTTGATCCTCAAAATCATCCCCTCCAAGATGAAGACTAATGTTAATATTGACAACAAGAGAGGCGTAACGAACATCTAGCCACGACCAATTTTTCGAAGGGACATACTTATTAGCTTTTGTAAACAATGCATTTGATCGTCAATTTGGCGGAAATTTTCCCCTACCTGATAGTGCTGTTAGTATGCGTGTGTGAGCTACCAGTTACGCCAAACCGACGATCATGTGCATTGTTTACAAAAGCTGATAAGTCCGTTGGAAAAAGTAATCGAGAAATGTTGACTTCAATGCCTTGATCAAGAGAATGTTGTTATGTCAAAATTCAAATTCATGCAAGATAGTTGGTCGATCCAGGGCCCCACTAAGTCACTTTCAATCGATAATCGTCAAGTGACGATGAAGCTGTATGCCATCAATTTCAATTGAAGGTCAGTCTGTCTTCTCTTCGAGCAGATCCCCGTCAACATCAACAGGAACCGCTTTCGATCAGTTTTCATGCTGTTTGTTTTGGCTTGACTTGACTTGTGTTCATTTCTTCTTTCACTGTCAAATGAACTTACTTTTGCATTGAAGCGAAGCTGTTCGATCCAAATTTGCGCATTGTGACTTTTGTTGATTGTTCACTCGGTTCATTTAAGCGTATGCGCATAGATCTGTGCACGTGGATGTCAAATTTATCATTGTCGGGTGGTTTGTTTACCAATCAATATGGGTATTTTTTACTCGGGGGATCGAAAATTGATATTCGAAGCCATTTTGGAATCCAAAATGGCGGCTTCCAGTTTAAGAAAAAGTGGGAAATACTGTCAAATACCTATCAAAAAAGGTATTTTCGGAATCGGGATGATGTCTAGAGGTTGAAAATCGATATCTGACGCCACTTTAAAATCGAAGATGGCGGCTTCCAGTTTAAGAAAAAGTGGGAAATACTTTCAAATACACATCAATATTGGTATTTTTGTAATCGGTATGAAGTCTACAGATCAAAAATTGAAATGCGACGTCGTTTAGAAATCCAAGATGGCGGCATCCGATTTCAGAACAAGTGGGAAATATTTTCAAATACCCATAAATATGGGTATTTTTGGAATCGAGATGGCGTCTAGAGGCTGGAAAAAAAAATGGAAAATGCTGATGCCGTTCCAATTCAATATGGGTATTTTTGGAATCGGAGTGACGTCTGGAGATTGACGATATCCGACGCCATTTTAAAATCCATAATGGCGGCTTCCGGTTTAAGAAAACGTTGTAAATTCTATCAAATTGCCATACATGCGGGGCCTCATAGCCTAGTTAGTAAAAGCACGGTATTACCAAGCCGGAGGTCTAGGGAACCTTTCGGGTTGGGAATTTTCTCGACTTCCCTGGGCATAGAGTATCGTTGTGCTTGCCACACCATATAAAAAATCATGCATTGGTATTGACATCGAAAGCTCTCAATTAATAACTGTAGAAGTGCATTTAGAACAATAAGTTGAGAGCACGCAATAAGCTAATATGCGCTAAGAAATAAGCTGGAAATGCGAATAAGAAGAAGAAGACGTTTTTTTTTAGAATCAGGGTAACGCCTAGAAGCCCGAAATCGGCGCCATTTTGAAACCCAACACGGTACGTACATGCCGACAATTGATGTCACACCGTCTTTAAATCCAAGATGGCGGCTTTGGTTCAGAAAAACCGCAAAATACTGTCAAATACCGATCAATGTGGATTTTTTTTTGAGTCGGGGTGACATCTAGAAATTGATGTCCGACGCCATCTTGAAATTAAAGATAGTAGCTTCCGAGTTCAGAAGAAGTGTCGAAAGGCCTACAAATGGCATCGAATATCGATTTTCAGCATCTATGCGTCGTCCCCGTTCCGAAAAATACCCAGATATTAGGGTATTTGACACATTTTTTTTGTGAAACCCGATGGCCACCATTTTGGATTCCAAAATGGCATTGGATATCGATTTTTGGCATCTACAGGTTGTCCCCGTTCTGAAAATACCCATATTGTAGAGTATTTGTCACTTTCTGAATACTGATTGCCGCCATCTTGGATTCCAACATAGCGTCGGATATCGATTTTTGGCATCTACGCGTTTTTCCCGTTTCGATAATACCAATATCGTAAGGTATTTGAGACTTTTCATGACCCCGATGGCCGCCATCTTGTTCTTCAGAATGGCCTCGTTAATTTAATATTAGCTTAGTATAAAATGATATATTATTGCTACATATAATCCGGATGCCATCCCTATCAGCAACCGATATTGTTCGTATGCTATATTTTGATGCCGGACGACGCGATGCGTGACAAGTCGACCATGAGCCCCAAATTGAAGTGAAAGCGAGTCATTCATTGCGTCTATTGAAACAAGTCTTTGCTTCAAATGAAACGAACTGAAGCACTTGACGAACGAAATAAGCGATAAGTCAAGTCATGTTTGACAGGAGGAATGTTCATCGCGAAGCGATTCTTCGGAGAGTTCATTTTCTTTTCTCTGTTTCGAAAATGCAGAGCAGTGGGTCGGTCTGTTAAGGCTGTCTTCATTTGCAGCTAAGTTGAGTGTAGACGAAATGATTTTTATCAGCACTGATCACAATCTTTCAAATTGTTCAAGACCCTTTCTCCGGGAGCTTGAAAAAAATTCTTTATTTGAAATTTCGAAAACACATATCTACGCGCTACATAATTTTAATTTCAAGATCAAGATTACCCACATAAAGCAGGGTGACCCGAAGATCGGGAAAACTAGGAAAACCCGCAATTCGAAATCATCGGGGGAAAAAAAAACCGTTAGAAATCCGTGAATTTCGTTGACAAAGCTGGAAAAAGTATGCTTGGTTCTGTCTTCGAAAAAAATAAATATGGTTGGTCCTTGACAAAATTTAAAGACCCGTGGAAAGGACTATATTTTCAGGATAAAACATTGTGCCGAAATATGATTCGGCATAGCTTGGGCACATCCATCGGCACACCTTCGGCACAATCTCCTAGGCATTGGATTGGTGTAGATAAAATGGGGGCACTGCTGGACATCTGTCATTGAAGTTGGTCACGACATTGCGTGCTGTTTGGCTGTATATTTAGGAACATCCTCTAATTGAATATACCAGAGGAACTCAGACCACCAGTTTACTTATATCTAAATACAAAATGCAGGTTCTAGAGTGGGCTCAAGAGAAAGAGGCAGATAAGCAGACCTCATTAGAAGAAGTCTATTCATCATCATCTATAGTCGATCTCCAACAATGCTCCCCACCGGTTCCAACTATTTCCGGCCGCTGCTAGGCTGATGTATTTCACATCACGAAAGGCTAGGTTTCTGGTTTTCCTTTGAGGGCATTATAAAACACTAAAACACAGGACTTTAATTTCCCTATGAACACTGGCGAGACAAGTATTTTAATATCGACATTTTAATTTGCATTGGTATCCCAAGTTAAGATTAGATAGGAGAGAGAATCTCTCGCGCCGGGTCGTTCTTGCTCCTTATGTACATACAGCTGACGACCCATCGCTACCGATCAGCTGTGAGGCTGCTGGAATTTTCGGCTTCACTCTAAAGCAGAGTACGCACTCGTGGATGACTTTCCGGACAAGATTCCGGACGCTTGTTGGCCAGAATGGTTCTCGAATAGATGAAATCAAGAGCTGCTGTCCACCATGCAGCATCTTACCAACCGGTGGAAACTAACGATTTAAAATTGGCTCACTACTTGAGTAGCCTATTGGTCCCAAGCAAATCGATTAACGTGCCCCATTCTAGTCGAAATTCTAGTACTACATTATGTCTGTTTTGATTCGCTATGAAAGTTTGTCAGATAAAATGAGGGGTTCGTGGATTTTCCTATGTTTCGAGGGGTGCATCGATTAGCTTGGGACCGATGAGAGTACCAGAGCTGAGCCAAAAAGTTGAGCACGTTTCTTCGGGACCTTCTGGTCTTAGAGTTACCTCTATGATCTTACTAAGGTAGGGGACGTTGACGATGTGTGTGAACGGATGAACTCGAACTTCTCTACCATTCTTCAGATCTTTAGGCTCCTGCGAGAAACTTTCTCGAACCAGCTGTGAAGGTACTTCATTAAGTTCGAGCGTTGTGAGATTGTTGCGATTCGTTGGTTGTGTATTGTAGCGAAATCCAACCATTTTCGATGATCGAAGGCTGAATATGCCACTTGAGTTTGTCACTGGAAGTGTTCCCGAGATCCGCAAGACTTCCTCTTCATGGATTTGTTGGGCTAAAGGCCAGTTGTGTTCGTCTGAACTAAGTCAATACGGACCGTTAACCAAAGCGATTCGTATTGCAGCTGAGTTGGGATCATGTGCAGGATTGTCCAATCCTGCTACTTGATTCCAAGCCCCATTCTTGGAAATATGCTGAATCTCCACAAACCTATTCGCAACAAACTGCTTCTATCTGAACGGCGACGAAGAAATCCAAAAGAAGCATTTCGCTTCGATGCCAATACTGTGCATGACCTCTTCAAACAGGCGAGCTAACAACAAGGCTGATGACAGTTCTAGGCGTGGAGTGGAGAGCCGCTTGTTTCCTTTCTTCAAGTTGTCAAGTGGTGCAACGCGTGACTTCACTGTCAACAACCTCACAAACACAAAACACCAAAATTATGCACACCCGCCACTTCCCGCGTCATCCTCAATCCGAGTTATCCTTGCGATTTCAAACCAAAACATTCAAGGTGTCAGAAATGCCGGGTTGCCGGGATGGGTATTTTACAAACAATCGCAGCTTGCTCTACACTCAAAATAATGTTCACGTCAATGCTACGTGAAAATATACATAGATTTTTTCCATCGCATTTTTCACGCAAGTGTTACGTGATTCTCATATGAAAGCACTCATTTCAGTGAGCGAGATAGTCACGGGATTATCACGTAGATTTCAAATGAAAAAAGATCCTGACGTATTTCTTGGGCATTGTATCTTTATTGTGGCAAATATGCACACAGAAGAAGAAATTAATTCGGGCGAAACTGAACTCGGGAAGGATATGGAACGCATTTAAATCCATGGTACTCCTTGTCGTCAGACTAAAACAAAGAAACATGTTACAAATTATTCTCACCATACAATTTGTCTGTGATAAAATGTTCAGCCATTATACTTACAACACGAAATCGTCTTACGAAAATAAGCCCTAAGATTTTAACTGGCATGTAAACATGCAACTTGCAATTCCACCATATTGTGTACCATTATGAGTGAGGCACTCATTTATTTTTTCATACGTGAAAATTTGTGTATGTGCAAATCACGTGCGTTCCATTAAAAAAAAACCTTGTGACTTTAAATGGACTTCCCGTTGATACATCTGGGGTATCACGTAGACTCTACTTGTGTCACGTAAATTTATCATAAAATTGAAAAGAGAGACTCCACCTGATTTTTCACATAACAATAACGTGTCGATTATTTTGAGTGTATGACCGGCACAATCAGCATACTTGCAGCACACTGACAAAAAAGATGACCCAAGATTGGTTTGCGGAGTGACCTACCCCATGGGATAAAATCACTTAGAAGAAACATTAAAATATTATTTGCAAATTTGAGGAGATTTAACAATGATTTTCAAGGAATAACACCGAAGTATTTCAGGGAAAATTTTCAAGGTAGTTTTGGGACGTACTCTACGTGAGTTCTGACTAGAACTTTAACCTCAACAATCGTAGGAAAAGAACTTTTCAAAATTGTTGAACTTTTTGTTAAAACGTTTTTTCATTTAATTTGTACTCAAAAAACAATATTTGAGACATTTTAAATCGTTTTATATTTATAAATTTGACCAAAAGTTTTTGTTCTACGATTTTTGTCAGTTTTCAAGTGTCTATGGTTTTAACCATTTCATAAGTTTCAATTTTTTCATAATATATTTTTTTATTTTATTTTCAAAAATCGTTGAGGACATTTTGAAATAATGTGGTTTTTACAATTTTGCTTGAATTTTACGAATTTTGAAACTTTGATTTTTTATTCTTCCCTGATAGACATTATTGATCTCTACAACTTTGTCTCAGACGTCATTTCGATCAGAAATTTTCAAGAAGCTATTTAAAAAAAAAATACAGGGTTTAAAAGGGTCGAACTTGAGCAAAAGGGTGCCTATAGGAAAGTTCGGAGTTCAAATCGGAGAAGTTCTTAATTTCTTTCGTATGGATTGCACTGGAAATGATTGGCTTTTTTCGAAAATGAGCGGTTTGTGGCACAGTTTTCAGTTCCACTCAAAATGCACCAACAAACAACAACCACAATCTCTGTACATATATCAAATGACAAAACCGATACAACTCTCTCATACACACCGATAAACCGCTAATATTCACTTATTTCAAAAGCATATGGAAAAGCTAGAATCCAACACGAGACCACAGTCATTGAATACATAATTGATAAAATGAAACGTAGAACAACATATAACAAACAAACAAACAAAAATCAAACGCTGATTTGTTTCAGTGCAAACGATTCAAAATTGCAATTTATATAAAACGGAAGGTCAACGACCTTTCCATTGGTACTTGTGTATTTTGTAAGTATTTAAATTTGATGAAAGAAGAAGAAGAAGAAGAAGAAGAAGAAGAAAATGCAAAAAAGTAAAACACCGTTACTGAAACTACTATTTATTATTGAAACAGAAAACCTATTACTATTAGCATTACTAAACCACACACACACACACACACACACACACACACACGCTATTACAACTATTGATAATGGTAGCATAAATTTGAAGGAAAAGGTACTAAAGGAACAATCGGCTGCAAACAGAAACTAAAACAAACAAAGCAAAGCAAAGCAAAAAAAAGTGAACCGTACATACATTCAACGATGGCATTAAATTAAACTAATTGAACATAATTTGAATAACAGTAAACGAGAACAAACAAAAAAAAAACGTAGTGAACAAAAAATCAATCATCCAAACATACCATATTTAACGGGACAAGAAGATGAAAAAGAAGAAAAAATCGTAGTGGTAAACATTGATACGAAAGCTAAAATGTATACAAGAAAAAAAAACAAAGCAACCCGCGGGGGGCGTTTGAACAAACTCCGGGTTGCTATCGGTTTCGGTTTCGGAGCCTACTTTGCGCGTATTTTTAGTTCTTTTTCGGTTCGTTCTCTTGTACAGTTGTGAAGGTTTTTTTTTTTTTAAATCGTACTTCGATGATGAGTATATATAGATATATATATTTTGATAAGGAGATTTTTTATTGCGATCTATTTTTTTAACGGTTATAATTTTCTTACTTTTTAAGAAAACTTAAAGTATGAACAGGTGTAAAAATTTGTGACCGAGGAGATTTTTTTTTAAATGAGCCAAGAACAGATATTTTCCTTATGAATATATTTTTATATATTTTTACTTTAATTTGTCTCTGATGTACATATTTTCCGGATAAGTTTATTTTTTTAAACAGCAACCATTGATTGTTGGACAACAACAATGAGCGGAGAAACATATTAACAGAAAAAAACAAAACAAAGGAAACATTTAAGGTGGACATCATTTACTTAAAGTTAAGAAAAGATAAACAGAAATGAAAAAAAAAAAACCAACATGAAGCAAACATTCAAACATGAACCAAGCAAACACGAAGATCAAGAACAAAAACAAAAGAAAATAAAAAATAGATAATTTAATTGAATGACGCGCTGCGCGACTGCCATTGCGACGAAACATCTCCGAAAGCCTTGAAAGTGGCAACATTGGATTGCATAAGCGGAAGTCGAGCCCTCAGTGGCCGAGTGAAAGTGGCTCAACCTTGTGGCATTGTCATCCCGGTCGTAATTAAAACGCACACCGCTTGTAAATCATACTTAGCCGGCTTATCGCCTTCGACCATCTAATTTAAATTGGTCTGCCGCCGTTCTTCCTCCAACGACTAGTCGCTGCTAATAAGGTGACAAATGGGTGTCTCTAATTAGGCTGCGAGTTTTTCATCTTTTTTTTTTGCTGCTGCTGCCGTTCGGTCGATCTCAAGTGACAAAAATAGCACTCCTGAGCGTCGTCATTGATGGGTCTGAAACCGAGGAGCGCGAACTTGTATACTTACTACTTCATATTACGAGCGATACGATGGTGATATTTCCGGTTCGTGTTCTGCGCGACAGGTTGAAGTCTCTCTGGCTGGGCGGGTGCACCTTCGCTGAACGTTCATTAACGACGATGACGACGAGTGATACCATGAATGAAACGAGTTTGTTGGTTTAAGATTTGTTTTTCGTTTCTCTCGCGGATTCTTGTCGAATGGGGGATTATTTATTTTGTTAGTAATCTGAACGGCGATCTTCAGAGGGGACAAACCGGTGGATTTGTAGAATGTCCGATCATGTACTGTTCCGGAATGGAGTGTTCCATTCACAAGACGATATAAGATTAGTTTTGATGAAAAGTACAATGAGCGTACCAATTTCCGCTCACTGACGTACCTCATGGATGCTTCCTCAGTGACCTACACTAGGGTGGCCCAAAATAACAATTTTTTTTTGTAAACGATAAACGATGATTTAGAAGTAGGTAGCCCCGATGAGATTAAAAGAAAAAAACCAAACAAAATTTCGAATGCATCAAAATTTAGAGCAACCCAACCGTTTTATATTCTTTACACATTTCTTGAGGTTCTTACTATATGAGAAAAAAATGTCATGGCCTACTATATTCCCCGTAACGTGGGTGGATCACCTTTTAGTGGTACGTTACGGGATGTAAGATCCACCACCGATTCCTAGTCCTGGCTACTTCAAACTAGGGGAACAGTTTTTCAGTAATCAAAGGAACACATCTTAATCCTTGTTACTTTTTATGTCTTGTTGATAGTGATAAGTCCTCGGGTTGCCTGGACCGAGGATGATCTTGAAACACGGAACAAATTAGTCAGTTTGTCTTCATCTATGTGATTCCTAACCTTCCATTCGTTGTTCGCTAGTTTGAAGTATAGTCCCTATATTCATAGTCTGGCGGATAGAATCTCGGGAACCAATTGAGCTGTCAAATAGCGGAACCAATCGAGCAAATCACGACCAACAACTGAAAATAGCACATCAGCTATTACGAATAAAATTTCGGAAACCGTTTTCTCGTGACTAAAAGATCACTCACACAAACTAACGCCATCTTTAGGTTGTGGAAAATTTCCCCTATCCGATGATGCTGCTAATTTACCTTCGATTGGCGAGGAAAGAATAATCAACGTATTGTTTGTAAAAGTTGATAGTACCTTTTCAATTGTTGGTCTACAATATATTGAAATGGTTCCGCTTTTTGATAGATCGGAATTCTATCCGCCAGACTATGAATATAGCGACTATAGTTTGAAGTGGTTAAGACTAGGGTCACATAACATATGTGGAACTCGGTCATAAAAAATCGACCCCATTTAAGTGATTTCAAGTGGTATAGTAGGACATCGATCTGTCAAACTGATTATACCAGCTGTAAAATGATGAAGAAGATCAAGGGGGTAGTCAATTCTATTAAAATATTTCTAACGTGGTTTATAATTCTATATCTTAGCGCTCTTGAACTCATGTTTTTGTATTGTCATAATAATATTCGTTTTTTTATTTTTAATAATATAACTATCGTTCTTTATTTATAATTAAATAGCTTTATTTATAATTATACATTATCGTTTGCATAAAAAAGAGATATTTTTTGAAGATATTTGGGTTAACTGTTTACAATTTAATTATGAAAGCAATACGTATTGCTTTTCTGTAATTATGACCAACAATTGGAGAAACTGCAAGCGAATACTTGTTTATTTCTTTAAATTTCCGTGGGAATTTTTTTTTCATTTTTCTTCCTCTATTATAAATTAAGATAACAAATGTATGCACAATTTTTTTCCATTAAATATTTTTTGTTGGAACCAATTGCATCAAACTTTGATTTCATTTCATAACGTAGGAGGAAAAATACGAACGCACAAATTTGTAGTTAGATGCATACAGTTTAAAGCAGCAACATTTTGCAAGAAGTGTCCTTGTTTATATATAAGTATTGCAAATCTTAAGAAGCTGTCAAAATTCTACCGGCAGTATAAAAAAGAGCTGAATACTGAAAAAAAAAACTTAGTGTGCATTGAGAAATTAAAGTATATTATTTGAAGCTTTGTTCATTTGATAGCTGTAGTGGAACTTCTTCTTCTTGTAATTTATTCGTAAAACAGACAAAAATCTCTTGATATTGTGGAAAATATGCAGTGTTTTGAACGGACCTTGCATCTTTCCATTCACAAGAATTTTGCAAGAAGGATGACAAATGATATCGAGCGCTTATCGATACCTGTAATACCCAAGGTTTTAACCCTCCCTATGTTTCTCAATTGCGTAAAATTAAATGTTTTTGCTCAATTCCCAACACAAAGTTCTACTGACTAGTTATCTACAATATGACTGTTTAAAAATGCGCTTGATTGACTTCTGACCGACTTGAAAACACGCGTTAATAAATCCTTTGATAAGCCCCCTGTGCCCTAGAGTTAGTCTAAAAAAGAATGGCCGCATTACCTTGACAATTAGCCTTTTTGGTCACTCTGTAACTCTTTACTTCTATGGTAAAATCCCATAAGCAAACGCCAGTCTGTGTGAGAGAGAAACATTTTAGGCATTACCTTACCCTTTCACTTCAGTGAAAAATCTGTTTGCATGAGGAGACGGTGGCTCGCTGGTACCATGGTGGAGTGAAGAGATAAAATAAAATCCGCTAGACTTCGTTGACGGCACCGTCGAAAAATTTGCTCTT